AGAATAATCACCAAAGAGCACGGAGGTGGGGGTAATTAGGCTGGTTTAATCTAGGAGAACTTCCTGGAGGAGGAGGTATGATTGATTTGTGATTTAAAAGAGGAAAAATGTAGTAGTTAAGGCTGGAAGAACCAATACATCTGGGAGTCTTCCCTCCCTTCCTCACTCTCCCCATTTTGCTCTCTCTATATCTGATAGAGCTACTCAGACACACTGAGGGACAATTCAGTGGCAAAGCCAGAAAGAGATCCTGGGACATTTACTGTCCCTAGTCAGAGGCCTGGAGGGAGATGATGCTGCCTCCCTACTCCATTGCTAATCATGTTCAACCTTTTTTGCAAATTGGGAGTCTCAGCAACGAGGGAGGAGGTGTTGTGAGAATGAGCATTTGCAAACTGCCCAAACATTCTGGAAGAAAGGGGCAGTGTCTGTGCAAAGCTCCCAGAGGTGCCTGCCACACAGCTCTGCATTCCCATTCATGCCCTGACCCTGGAGACTTGGCATGGATGCCAAGTGTCATTGACACATGCCCATGAGCAGCAGGAGGGGCATGTTTCAGCAGGGTGGCGGACTGGGGCCAAATACCTCTACATTACAATGCAATAGATGATGGAAGACCAATTAATTTTTTACAACGGGAGAAACAGCTAAAAGATTAACAAGCATTAATTATTTATTGAACTGCTTGCTGCCTGTGCAAAAACAGGTGGGGAGGGAAATTGCCCTGTATGGGGAAATTAATCTCTTCAATAATCTCAGCTCTGGGTTACTATCTGCCTTTGCTTGGAGGTCATGCAAATCATCTCCAGGCAATGGATGAGATCATCTGGGAAGCAGGAATAACTTTTAACAGTCCCTTTCAGGGTAGTCAACAAACTGGTGAGAAATCTAGAGGTTTCTACCTCTCTATCTTTCAATCCTTCTAGCCCCTGCAGGCTACAAGGAGCAGGCTCTAGGGCTCCCCCACCATCCCAGGCCTGCAGCTCTGACCCCAAAAAGAGGAAAGTTGAGGCAAAGTCCTGGGACTCTCGGGTGAGTGTGGGTGGCTGGGCGGGGAGCTCAAGCAGGGGCAGGGAGGAGAAGTGGATTCCTTTTCTGACAGAGGATAAACCTGTCTGAATCTGTTCTAGGATAAGCTGTGAAGCATTCATTCATTCACTCACTCACTAATTCATCTGGTATTTATTCAAGTGCCTCTTATGTGCCTCTTGCAAGTGAGGCTGTGTAGCTCAGGTCAGAGTTTCTAAAACATCCCCTTTTGTCAGAAGAAATTGCTGAGATTGGCATAGGCCGATTGGCGAGCTGGATCTTAGTCCTTGGCTGGGGTGTGGCTTGGGACTCAGGAAGAGGTTGAGGCAGGAGGAGCCAGATTATGTGGCTTCTGTTCCCCTTCACCCTTTTTCTCCTTCACACCGTTTTCTCCCCACCCACCCCCTTTGGGATCCACGTGCTTGCTCCTAAGTATCTCCTGAATCCGTCCTCCCACTCCGGCCCCACAGCAAGGTCCTGCTTGAGGCTTTGCTGATGTTTTACTTGGATCATGGCAGCAGCGGCCTCACAGCTTCCTGCCTCTGGACTCCTCTGCTCCAGGCCTCTCTGTATAATGCTGTCAAAGAAATCACCATAGAACGAATCCTGCAGGAGTCAGAACTCTGCTTAAAATCCTACTGCCCCTCAACCTACGCTATGCTTGATATTCTGAGCCCCTTGCGAACTTTTCTGTTCTTATGTCGGCACCCCTGCGGCACCCCTGCGGCACCCCTGCGGCTTCTGCAGGGTCTCAGTAAGCTGCACGTTTCCACTCTGGCTTTTTGTACCTCTTCATATATGGTGCCCTCTGCCTCAGACATCCGCTCCTCCTCTTCACCCCCTGGAATTCTTACTTTTCTCTCTAGATTACTCCAAGCCACCTCCTTGGAGAAACCTTCCCCGACCTGCTAAAACACAGTCACGGCCATTCCACCACGTGCTCTGTGACGCTGCCTTGAGACATGGGTCTCACTGCACAGGTGATTGCAATTATCACTTTGTCTCCTCAATCTGACTTTGAACTCTACATAAGAACAAAGAGAATTTTATTCATCTTTGTGTCCCTAGCACCTAAATAGGGCCTGGCATTCATTCATTCACTCATTCATTCCTGTCGACTATTCGCTTTCTGCCCTGCCGTGCTAATCGCCGGGGTACAGTGAGCGGAGCGCACCCTGACCTCATGGACTTGCAGGGGAAGGAGTGAACTGGGACCGAGGGTGGCGTGATGGGAGCCAGCATCCCGGGCAGCCCAGGGCGCGGGGAGCTCTGAGCTGGCACCTGGCTGAGAGGTCCCTTTTCCTTTCAGAGGAGGCTTGCACCGCTGGCCCCGCTGTTTACATGGTCCGGGGCTTTCCTGAAGCCAGGGGTACTGTGGCAGTGGAGCTGGGAGGCCTTAGCTGGAGTCCTGGCTCCGGTATAGAGTTCTCGGATTTCTGTGCGTCCTTTACGCGCCGGAGATCCGGGGCACAGATGCTATGCTAGCCGGTCGGGCTTTCTTCACCGGAGTAGACATTGGGGACAAGCTCCCCAGGAACCGGTTCATTGCGGTTGGCAGGAATAGGGTGAAGAAAGACACAGGGATGGACGTCTGGGAACAGGGAGACCTCCCAGAGGAGTGACACTGACATGACTGGTACTTTAGCCCTGAGTTCAATTCCCGCGTGGGGGTCCACCGCGCTCAGTTCCCGAGCCGACCATCCCGCAAATAACCCCTCTGGCCACCAGGGGGCCCGGGGGAGCCCTGCAGGCCCCAGCGCTGCCCGGGCGGCCCGCGGAGCCGGTCCCTGCTGCGGGTGACTCAGGGGCCAACACCTGTCTCCAGAGGTTAAGGCCACCTGTGGGTACACGGTGCCCGGGCACTGTGCAGGCGAGAGCAGGGAGGGAGGCTCCGGCCGGGCGGCCCTGGCGCCCGCCCCGCGGAGCCTGCGGGCGTCCGAGCCCCACGGGGCGCCGGCCGGTCCCTGCCCGGGCGTTCGCAGCGCGCTCCCCCTGCTTCCCTCCCGCGGGTGGCCGAGCGAGCCGTCCCGAGGCCCAGCACGGTCCGTAGGCGAGGCGGGTCCGAGGTGGAAAGCGAGGCGGGGAAGCCCTGCCTGGGGCAGCGGCGACTCCGGGCGCCGCCCCAGCCCCGCTCGCCCGCCCGCCCCGTGCGGAAGCGCGGAGAGCCGCCCTGCTCCGGCCGCCGCTTCCCAGCCGAGGGCCTGCCCCCCACGGGCGCTCCCAGGGCCGCCTGGGCCCCGAAAAGCAGGCCGAAGGTCCATCCACACCCGCCGTGACCCGGCGGAGCGGGTGCGCGTGTGATTTGAGACACGCCGAGGAGGCTACACGGGGCCAAAGTCTCCCTCCCCGAGAGCCAGTCCCGGCAAGGGCTTCAGGCGGGACCTCCGCTCGGGCGTGCCCTCGCCACGCAGTCCCTGTTCCCGCCTGGCGCTGGCCGTGTTAGGGACCGACCTTCCACAGCCCCACCGGACAGAAAAGCAGAGACATTGAGGATGCAATCACACAAGAGGGGGTTTATTTTCTGGCTAGGCAGGGTCCAAGCCCCAGAGCACCAACGCAGTGGCCACTCTCGCAGGCAAGGACCCCGACCGGCACAACGGCATGCCTTTTATCCCCATGGTGCACAAGCTGCGCACAAGCTGACTACCGTGGATCATGCGTTGACCTTTAACATGATTGGTTGCCCACTATTGCCTTTTGAAATAATTGGCGGGTTGGTTGCCCTCTATTGCCTGATGGGCCAGTCGCCCGTGCTTCAATGACCTCATCCCATAATTCCCCCTACAGCGGTGTAGCAAGCAAGCAATGACCAGAAGCAAAAGTTTGCGGTTAGCTCATTGCCCCACCCAAGTAAATTTTTAACAATTGGAAAAACTCCTCTGCTCTTCCTCTGTCCTATAAATTTCTCTGCCCTACAGCCGGCTCACCCTGCAGGTGAGGGACTCGAGGGAGCGCTCCGCTCCGGGTCGCCTGCCTGGGCCCCGCATCCTCCCACTGTCTGGTCCTGGCACCCCTCAACACCTGGACCAGGGAGACGGCCGAGGCCTGGGGTCGCAGCCGCACGCAGGGCGCCCAGGCCCGGGCAGCAGCACCACGGGTGGCGGCGGCGGGACAGCCCGCAGAGCGAGGAAGCCCAGCAGGAGGACAGACCTCGCTCCATGCCGGCCGGGCCTCTCTCCTCAGGCGTGTGTGGGGGCGAGAAAGAGAGTTTCAATCTTACTAGTTCTGGGCGTCGACAAGGGCAGGCGCGGACGGCCGGGCTGCTCTGCGAGCCCGCGTGTGGCCGCCCGCCCGCGGGCTCTTCCCCAGCGCGAGAGGAGCTGCCCTCCCGCTGCGAGCCGCCCGAGGGGCGAGGCCGGCTCCGGCAGGGCTAGCTCGCCTGGTCGCCAGGCGTTCCCACCACCCCGTAGGAGCGCCAGCGCAGTGCGCCCAGCCCCCAGGCTGCGGGGGTGGCCGCCTCGACTCGGGCACGTGCCAGGGCCAGGGCGACTAGGCTCCCGCGGAAAGCCAGGCCCCGCCTCCAGGGGCTCTAGTGTCGCAGAGTCTTGTTACACTGCTGTGGCCGGGCGCTCTCCCTCGGACTGGTTGCTAGTTGTCGTCACAGTGGGGCAGTGATTCTTTTTGTTTGGGTGGGGGTGCTGAGAATACTGGGTTTGGGGGTCATAGACTTCAATGGAGCCCCAGACCTGCTGCTAAACTAGCCACCTGTTCTTGGGCACGTTATTCGCCCTTTCTAAGCCTCCTCTTTTCTCAGCTGTGAAATGGGAAAGATAATGCCACCCCTCAGGATTGCCCTGAGGCCGCAGCGGAGAAGGCACGAAAGCATTCTGAGAGCCAAGAGGCGCGGCCTCTCCTAACCCCTTTAGCCTTTCCCCGCCTGTGCCCTCCACACGTGCCCCTTCTGTGTCCCACATGGGAATGTTCTCTATGCTGCGACCTTTCTTTTGTCCCTTCCCGCTCTTACAACTTACCTATTTATTCTGTGCTCCAGTTCTTGAGATTTGTGTGCCTTCATTCATTCTTGTAATAAATGTTTATTGTGTGCCTGCAGAAGGAAGCCTGTGAACTAGAAAGGGCCTGAATTTGAATCTTGTACCCTATCTAACCATACTAACTTGTGACTCTAGGCAAGGCCTTTGCCTTCTCTGTGCTTCCGTTTCCTAAAACATACAACGGAGATGATGCCTGCATTGCAGAGCTGTTAGGAGGATGAGGGGTATGTACATGCTCAATAGCTAACTGCCTCCCCCAGCCTCCTGCCAGTCAGAGAAACTCACCAAAATAAAGCAGTAATGGGATGTCAGGGACTTACTATGTTGCCTACAACAACAACAAAATAAAATAGCAAAACAACAGCCTGGTGTTAATGGAACCCTGGGACCCACCACAAATCCTGGCCTGGTGATGTTGCTTAAATATGTGACTGGGCCACCAATGCTCTCCAAAAGGAGTGGGTGAGGGAGGTAGTCCACATTCTGTGGGGGTGCTCAGCTGAATGGGGTACCCAGGAAACCCTTAATTGCCCAACAAGGTGTTAGTTCGTTTCCCAGCAACACCAATGCTGTGAAGTGCCAGCCTTCCTAACTCAAAAGTGCCTCTTCATCCAACGGAGGTCTCAGATGGGGACTGTCAGGCATGGAAGAGGGCTATCGATTGTGCCTTTTGTGTGTGTGTGTGTGTGTGTGTGTGTGTGTGTAGGGGGTAAATTTAAAAAGCAGGTGTATGATTTGGTACGTTTTATATTAAGTCGGGGGAGATGCAGAAAGACAAGTAAACACACAGCACATGTGCACTCTAAAAAGGCTCCTTTAAGCATCAATTCAGCAAACATTGGTAGGATCAGGGCCCCATCTCCAGTCTGGGATACAGCAGTGAACACGACAGAGAGAATCCTGCCCTTGTGGACCTGACATTCGGGTGGTGGAGGCAGATAATTAGGACACATAATAAATAAGGAAATTAAAGGCCATGTAAGGATGGGGAGGTCCCGAGACTAAAGCTGGGTAGGGGCTGGAGTGCTCTAGGGGCAAGGTGGGCTGTATTGGAAAGGTGACTCTTCACCAAGACTTGAAGCCGGAAAGGGGACTGGTGACACTGATGGCTGGGGGCAACGTGGAGAATGCCTGGGGTACTCAGGGACCTGCCGTGCACTGGGGTGGCAGGGACAAGGGGAGAGGAAAGAGGAGAAATCACATGGGCTCTGGGGGTGGAGGAGGTAGATCTCGTGGGGCCTTGGAGGTCACATAAGCACTTAGGCTTTGACTCTGGGGAAACGGGGAGCTACCAGTGGGTTTGGGAGAGAGATGGGAATCTGCTAGGAGGACTCAATCCAGTGCTGGCTGTGCTTGGCACCAGCTATGAGACTTTGGGGCTGCACTTCCCTTAGGGGTCCAGTGAGACAGCTGGCCTGGTTATTTCAAAGACCCGTTCTAAATCCTGAAGATACAGACCAAGGCAAACAGACTCCCTGGCAATTTCACTGTCTATCACAGGAAGTACCAAACCCCCTGGTGAATTTTCATTTTCCTCGCTGTTCTTTCCCAGTTTGCCCCTGAGGCAAACCCAGGTCCCCAGGTGCATCTAAAAGTAGCAGAGATGGCTGAATTCCCTGCCACTCCCATGGAGAGCTGAGCACAGCTCTTTCCAAGGCAATTAATTTTCCTGGCTGGGATCAACAACAGCAGAGCAGTTTCCCATGGTGAGGTGAGCTGTGGCCTCCTCCTCCCCTGGACACCCAACTGGCTGGCGGGACTGGGATAGGGAGAAGAGAACAGTGACAAGCCTGGACCAGTCCCTCTGGGAAAGGAGCAGGATGTGGCAGGCGGTACCCTTTGCTGGGCAGTGTGACAGGATTTGGGTGCAGCATCAGTGACAGCCTTGGGGGGAAGGCTGGGGGCAGCCTGCCTGTTAGCAGAGCTGATTTACCCCAGGGGTATCGGAGACAAGCACCTCGGCTGGGGAGAGGCAGCGGTTTCTACCCCCTTGCCCCCATTGCCAGAAGCAGCTGCCAAACGCACTCAGTGCAGGATTGTCAGAAAGGAGGTTCTATTGCACTGCACAGTTACTGTACGTTAACAATAATGTACTGCACATTTCAAATTTGCTGTCATACACGATTAGATTTTTAACATCCTCACCACAAAAAGGAAATGACAAGTTGGTAAATAGATATATGTTAAGTAATTTAATTGAATCTTTCTACAATGTATACATAGGTCAAAACATCACATTGTACCCCATAAATTTACACAATTATTATCAATTAAAAATAAATGAAACAAAGAGAAAGGAGGAACTTCTCTTCTCTTGGCAGAGGAAGAGGCAGTAGGAAAGGAGGATGGAGGCCCTTCCCATTGCCCACCCAGGTCGCCTGCCCAGCTCTGGCCTTGCACCTGGGCAGCGTCTCCGTGTGAGGTTGAGGCACCTCCCACCTGCAGAGGGCCGTTGCCTGCGCTGCCCCTCCTCTTCTCATGCCAGCCAGCAGGGCCCCATTAGCCAGGTCTCCAGAGCTGGAAATGACCGAGTGCTAGAGATTGTTGGAAATAAAACATAGCGTCCAGCCAGGGCTTCCCAACTCAGCTGTCTGGGGACGAGGCTGCAGGAGGAGGGCATTGAACTGCAGAACAGGCAAGCTGCTGCGGTCGGCCCCCGCCCTGGGTCTGCAGCTTTCAACAACATTTCCTCAAGGAGCATCCTTTTAAAAATTAGGTTTATTGAGGTATGATTTACATGGAGTAAATGTCATCTTTTTTAGGTGTGTAGCTCAACGAATTTTGACAAATGTAAGTAGTCACATGCCAAACAATTCCCTCGTGCCGTTTGCACTCAACCCCCTCGCAGCCCCAGGTCCTGCTAACAGTACTTTTCCTGAGTCATATTCTCTCTGTTCTCTCAGTGTTCTCTGTCTGCTTTCAGTTTACTTGTTTCTGAAATTCATCCAAGTTTTTACATGTATCAGTACTTCTTTTTCACTGCTGCAGAGGACCATCACTTTATTTTTTTATATTTTACTGCAGTAAAATACAGCTGGCCCACTCTATCTGTGAGTTTTGTGTCCATTGATTCAACCAACCATGAATCAAAAATGTTAAAAAAAACTTATGTCTGTACTGAACATGTACAGACTTTTCCCCCTTGTCATTGTTCCCTAAACAATACAGTATAACAACTATTTACATAGCATTTACATTGGGTTGGGTACTATAAGTAATCCAGATTTGATTTAAAATATAGGGAGGATGTGCATAGGTGTCACGTGCAAATACTGTGCCATTTTATATCACAGACTTGAGCATTTGCAGATTTGGGTATCCGCAGGAGGTCTTGGAACCTATTCCCATGCATACCGTGGGACTGTATACAAAACATAACATTTTTCCTTTTAATCATTTTAAGTGACATTAATTATAGTAACACTGTTGTACAACTTTCATCACCCTATGCAGAAATTCTGTATCCATTAGAAAATAACTCCCATTTCACCTTTCCAAAGTCCCTGGACACCTTGAATCTTCTTCCTATCTCTATGTATTTCCTTATTCTAGATACTTCATGTAAGCAAAATCATATTAACACAATGTCTATCCTTTTGTGCCTGGCTTTTATCACTTAGCATGTTTCCAGTGTTCACCAATGTTGTAGCATGTATCAGAACTTCATTCCTTTTTATGGCTGAATGATATTCTGTAGCATATGGGTAACATATTTTGTTTATCCAATCATCTGCTGGTGGGCACTTAGGTTGTTTCCAGCTTTTGGCTGTTGTGAATAGTGCTGCTATGAACATTGGCATATAAATATCTGAATCTCTGTTCTTAGAATTATTTTGAGTATACTCCTAGGAGGGGAATTGCCAGGTCATATGGTAATCTTACATTTAATTTCTTAAGGAATTGCCATGTTTTCCATGGAAGCTGCAATGTTTTCCCCACCAGCAATGCACAAGAGTTCCAATTTCTAGTTGTCCTTGAAAACATTTGTTATCTTCCATATTGTAAAAAAAATTATAGCCATCCTCATGGGTGTGAAGTGGTAACTCATTGTGGTTTTGGTTTCATCCTAATGTATTCGAATGACTAATGATATTGAACATCTTTTTTCATGTGCTTACTTGCCATTTATATATCTCCTTTGGAGAAATGTATATTCAAGTCCCTGCCCAGTTTTAAATTGTTTTGTTGTTGTTGCTATTATTATTGAGTTGTAGAAGTTGTTTATATATTCTGGACATTAAACCCTTATCACACATGTGATTTGCAAATATTTGTTCCCATTCGTGGTTGCCCTTTCACTCTCCTAAGAGTGTACTTTGATGCCCATAAGTTTTTAATTTTATTTTTGCAAAATCTGTTTTTCTTGTTGTGTGGTCACTAAAGTTTCTGTTCTATTATCTCTACACTCAGCCTGTATTCTGATAGAGATTTCCTAAAATGTCAAGTTCAGCACCTTTCTCTTCATCAGTCATTCCCCAATTACATGGGCATTGCCATGATTATCTCCATGGGTTACATTCATACAAGAGGAATTAACAACTCAAGAATTTAATCACAAGTCAAGGGTATTGAAGATTGCCAAAAATTTCTCTAAAATATTTTCACCAATTCAGTCTTCTACCAGTAGATTATGAGTACCCATTTTCTCATCTGCTCACTAACACCAAGCATTACGTGAATTTTTTAATCTTTGCCAATTTGAGAAATAAAAAATGATGTTATATTGTTGTTTTAAAGTGGATATTTGCTTACTAGTGAGTTTGACCATTTCTTTGGTTTTTGGAATTCCTTTGTTGCTGTTCACTGGTAATTCATATCTCTGCCCAGTTTGGTGTATCCCTCTCTCTCTTTCCTAAGTCACTTACAAATAGAAACTTTTCTAAAAAAGCCACAGTCTCTTTGAAAAACAAAACATTTAAAATATTATAACAGGTTATTTGGTTAGCAGTATTGGGAAAATTGGCTTTCTATATTTCAAAAGACTAATTTGAATTCTTACTTTAGATCATATAGGAAAATAAAGATTCTACATGAGATAAGCAGCTAAATATAAAAGCTCAAACTACAAAGTTAAAGAAAGGAAATTTAGAAGCCTATCTTTTTGACATTGATGTGAAGGTTTAGGTAAAGGAGAAAATTGATTTATTTGAACGTATTAAAATGAAAGATCTCTCTTCAACAGAGAATGCCATGAGACATTAACAGAAAGCTGACAAACTAGAAGAAATTTGCAATGACTATGAGCAACAAAGGATTAATCTGGGGAAAGGATATGAGTGGGCAATACACAGAAAAGGAAATATGACTAGCAAATAGGTGTATGGAAAGACGCTTAATACTACTAATAATCAGAAAAATGGAACCTTAAAAAGTAAGATAATACTTTGTACCCTTCTGATTGGCAAATATGAGTAAGCCATATAACGTCAAGTGCTGGCAAGGATGGGGACAAATGGGAGCCCCGCGCACTGCCGGTAG